AACTTTAAACAAGTATTAAAAAAATTTCAAGAAAATATTCTCAAACAATATCCAAGTCTGGTATGTGTATATTGTGCAAAATTATTATATCCAAAACAAGTAAAATGGATTGTCTATAATCAAGAAATAAAATATCCAATTGAAGAAGCTTTTGATAATTTTCATTTAGAGTTTCATCCAAATACAAAGGAAAAATAAGTTCCCATATATAGGTCTTGTCATAGTCAAAAAAATCAAAAAAATATACCTTGTCTTTGTCCAATTCCTATTGAAATTGAATCAGTTCCTTTACATAAATGAAAATATCTTTCACCAGCATATGTCCATTGTTCTTTAGGAAGAACCTTAGAAAGTAATCCTTTTTCAGAATATAGAAATTTAGTTGGAGTTATGAATTATTCATGCAATATACAAGCATTGTCATTATATACAGGAACAATAGGAGCATTTTTAGAACCTTCTAATAATAACCATGTTTCTAATGAATTAATCTTTGATAAAAATTTAAAAAATACTGCAAATTGGTTAGTAGAAAAAAATTCCAATCTAAAAAGCTTTTCAAGGCAAGCAAAACAAGCTTTAACTCTAACACAAAATACTATAAATAAAACATTTCCAACAGCTACTCATGCTTCCAATGATGATCAGTTCCTCCCTATTTATCAAGAGATATAATCATTCAAAATACAATTTTCTGGATGAAGTTCATAATGAAGATTTTCATTTTAATAAAATAATAAGTGGTTTTGTACAGTTGAACAATAATACAAAGCTACCAATTTCAACAAATCATAAAGATTTAGAGCTTTTATTATTTCCATATTTATTTCTAAATGGTCAAGGCCATTATTATGATTTAATCAAAAAAAATAATAACAATAGTTTAACATTTGGTAAATATGCAAAACACATGATTCTTCTATATGATCCAAGATTTCATTTAGATCATTATTGGCCTGCACACACATATTTACAACTTGAAAAATTAAGAAATCATCAAAACACAAGAAGATTTTATGACAAAAAGATGTAGAAGGAAATTTGAGACAAAATGATATTAATTTAATTGCATATAGCAAATACAATGGTGCTCCAAAAATAAGTAAAGAAATAACTATACTCTATCAACTTTTATAAGAACTGGAGATACATATTTTCATGAGAAAGAGCTTCATTTAAATGCCATGCTCAGAAGTTTTGGATTACCAAACTTATTTATAACATTGTCAATGGCAGAAAGTAAATGGACCCATCTTTCTGATATATTAAAAAATACAGATAATGTAGTTATAATTCCAACTAATAGGCCATTTCATTGTACTCTCCATTTTACACACAGATTTTGTTCCCTAAAAAAAGAAATTTGGAAAAATTCTAAAATAAGTAATTTAAAAAAAATCAAATATTTTTTTGATAGAATAGAATTTCAGAATAGAGGTGCTGCCCATATTCATTGTGTATACTGGACTGATAAAAATATAAATAAAATGATAAATGATGATGTAGTGCGAGCTGATATTACAGATCCTTCAATAGAACCAGAACTATATCAAAAAGTAATTGCACATCAAATTCATTCTTGTGATATTAAAAAATGTGGAGGACCAGTTTCTAATAGTGAAACATGCAAAAAAGGATTCCCAAGACCATTTTCACCTTATACTTATGTAGATCCAAATAGTTGCAGATATATTTACAAATGTTTAAAGCAACAAGATAGATGGGTGGTACCTTATCATCCAGCAACATTGATCATATGAGATGCTCATATGAATATTTAGTATATTATATCCAAAGGATTTGCACGCTATATGACAAAGTATCTTGCAAAAACAGAGCCATCACATTTATTCAACATAAAAGATGGTGATAAATTTTGTGAACATGTAGTTGCAAGGTGTTTAAGTGGTATGGAATTATTTTTCCTGTTGTTGGGAGAACCAATATGCAAATCATCAGATCAAGTAAAGTTTCTTGTAACTGATTCACCAAAAACTAGAAACAAGACTATTCTTCCTATTAATATGATCAATGAAAATGAAGATGACATTTATTTTAAAGACACTATTGAAAAATATATGATGAGACCTTTGGATCTTGATTTTGATAATATTACATATTCAACATATTTTGAAAATTATTTTGTACAAAACTCAAGACCTAAAAGTAAAAAGAATAAAATATATCAAGATCAATTTAATAATTATGTAATAAAAAGAAGCAAAAGTATAATAGTAAGATTTAGATTTTTAAAAATTACTGATGGCAAAACTTTTTTCTATCAACAATTACTTAGAAACATTCCAGCAAGAAGTGAAAAAGAACTGTTGGGTCAATTTAAAACATATAGAGAAAAATTTTTATCTCTCTTTTCAGACTTTGCAGCAGAAATTCAAAACTCTAATAATACCAAATATTTAAATATTAAGTAACAGCTATCAATACATTATTCTGAGCATATTGAAAATTTATTAGAATCATTGAAAGAACTGATAAATATAGATATTCAACATATTTTAAAATTACAAATGAGTAGTTTAATAAAATTACCTAATATATATCCTGAGTCCAATGTATTGCATTTACCAAGAGATCAATATTATGCAATATCAATGATTACAAATCATATGGGAAAATATGATAAAACACATTGGCCTTATTTTTTCATCACTGGTGGTGCTGGTACAGGGAAAACATATTTAATAAATATTATAACAAATATGTTAAAATCAAAAAAATCAAAATACTTATTAATGGCTCCAACTGGTGTAGCAACTAACAACATAAATGGTACAACAATTCATTCTCAGCTTTGTATCTTATCAACAGCAAATGGCTACAAAATCCTAGCACAATATGATAAGAATTTTGAAAATGAATTAAAATTAATAGATACAATAATTTTAAAGAAGTATCAATGGTTTCTTCAACTTTATTTTCATTTATTTCTGATATTTTTGCCAGAATTCACCAAAACTCTATTGCATTTGGTGACATTAATGTTATTGTAGTTGGTGATCTTGTCCAATTACCTCCTGTCAAAGGACCTCCTGTATATAAATTACCAGAATGGAAGTTATTTAGGCCTTTATTTTTAATAGAACCAAGAAGACATGAAGGCTCTTCTGAATTTTACAAAATGCTTCAGGAGATTTGTTTTGGAAAAATTTCTGATCAAACATGGAACAATTTAAAAGAAAAAAATTTAGAATATAATTCAGAAAACCCCATTGAAAAAATATTAAACACAGCAAACATTGTAAGTTTTAGAAATACAGCTGAAAAAATAAATAATTTGATTTGTCAAATGCTGCCTACAAAAGAAAATAAGTTTCTAATTTCAGAATCAATAGATTATATAAATGATGAAAGATGGGATTCTAAATTAGCACAAAAGAATTTTAAATCACATACAAACCTACCTTCTTCAGTAACATTACAACAAGGTGCTTGAGTAATATATTTAAACAATAGTTTGATGAATCTTGAAATATGCAATGGTACAATTGGTGTAATCTTGGACTTAAATTTGGAAGAAATGTCTGTACGAGTTGCTTTTTGTGCTCATAGCAAAATTATAGATATTGAAATAAAAAAAACAAGTGAATTATTTTTTTGTTAATGGAAACTATGCAAGTCGTACCCAGTTTCCTTTGCAAAATTGTTTTGCAATGACAGTACACAAGACACAAGGGTTGACACTAAATGATACTTCTTTAAATTTAGATGATCAAATTTTTGCACCTGGTCAAGCTTATGTTGCTTTAAGTCATTGCCCTTCATGGGATAACATTCAAATTCCTACTCTTTCAAAATCTGCATTTATTGTAGATCAGGAGATGGTTAAAGAATACCAGCGTCTTGAAAATTTATCATTAGAAATATAACAAAAATAATAACAAATAATTACATTTCTATAATTTGTATATCAGTTCAAAAAAATATAATTGTTTACTCTAATAATAGTAACATATATATTTTAAAAAAGAATAAAATATTGTTATTAATTATTTTATTTTTGAAAAAAATATTTAAAAATGAATAGAATCACATAATATTTTTATTGTATTAAAATGGTGGTGGTGGTTATTAATCTGAATTCGCCATTCTAGTTATATTTTTAAAAATTGTTTATGTGGATTGCTGGTTCTTCGGATTCAGGCTTACAATTTCAAGATTTTTGTTATAAATTTTTTTTTAATTTATTTATATTTTCGGAAAATATGCAAACAAAAAAAATGAGAAAAATATAATTATTTTTCATTTCAATGTATATTTATTATATAATTTATAAAAAATCGAAACGGATTATTTAAAATTTTCAGCACAAGTCTTTTCACATATGGTAAAAGTTTCGGCATATATTATTTGTAATTTTAACATAAAGATAATATTGAAATGACTCGGCAACCCGGCTTTTTTTTTTTTAAATTATATATATAAAATTATATAAAAATTTTTTGAAAAATCCCGGTTATTATAACATAAAAAATTTTTTTAAAGTTCGCGACCGGGTTAGAATTAATTTTGAAAGCAAAAATATTGCGATTTTTATGTTGTAACGTGATAAAGGAAATTCAAATATGGCATTTTAGATACCCTTTATCTTACTATTATAAGTAATTTGCGGAGGTAATTTCATTGTAGAAATGGGATTGAACCACTTTTATCTAGATGTTTGAAGATTCTATATTCTTTGGTAGTCATTGTTGTACTGATAAATAGTCAAGTTATCATTTATTTATTTTACAATTATATTAAAAATATTCATGATTATATCGTTTAATTTTAAATATTTGTTTCATTCTCTGATCCTCTTGGTTGTGATATGCAAATACGAAGAATTTTCAGTTATAGTACCAATTCTGTGAGGTATATCGAATGTGAACCGTATCACCTTCCTCATAATCCGTGCCGCCTATTCATTAAAAATATAAGAAAATTGATATATGGTTAGATAGATAGATAGATATATATATACTTGAAAATGATATAAATAAAAACATACATGTGGAATTTGGAGGAGGGCTGCCTCCAACAGTAGCGATTCTAAGTGCCCATGTGAAATCATTAAGCGCACCTTCACCTTTGGTCGCCTATTGAAATTTTATGCAGTATTTGTTAATAGATAAATCATAATATAAAACCTTAATATTAGAAAAGTTAACATACATAAGGTTTAATTCGAATCCAAGCGAGGTTTTCGGGTCCATCAGGTGATGGGACACTCGCATCTGGACCTTCCCACACAAAAGAAGTATCTCCTGGAACTATTGACTCATAAATAGCCTTTCCACCCTTATAAGCTATAAGGATAGTTAATAACGAAAGTAATTATATTTCACAAAAGCCGACACAAAAGATACATACGTGGATATGAAAAGTAATGGCGTACAACAAAACATTCAGGTCCAAATCCGATTGGAATATCGTTTACAAGAAATGTGTCATAATTTGCTATGTAATAGTATGGAGAGCATGAAAAAATGTTGGCATGAGAACTAAGAATCAAGATTAATATCACTTACTTGTATTCCAATACTTCACGCCATCTAATTTAGCACAAGTGTATTCGGCTGTTCCAATAGCATATAATAAAAATTTAAATTTAGCAGAATCGGGCACTTGAATTTCTTCTGGGATTTCGATATCTTTAGGTTCCTCTGCATTTACGATAGAGAATAAATTAATCTTAATATTATAAAACTTTTGCACTATAAAAATGCTTATGCTTACCAGTAATAGTTCCAATTTTGTCACCGATACAATGTGTTCCATGGCGACGATATCGATGTTTATTATTACGTTTTATAGCAAATACATCTTCAGGACTAAAATTGATCAGCAAAACTAAAAGCACTAAAAAAATAAATAAACTGTTGTTTTTGAAATACATTTGAGTAAATAATTTTGATTAAAATTTCATGAATTTCATAAAAGCAAGGACGAAATTTTGATAGATATTTATATCTTTTGGTTAATAGTCACGTTTTACTAATATTTTAGAAGTATACTCGCGTACGAAAAAACACGAAGTGTGTTAGTAACTAAGGATTTGTTAACTGTACAATGGCGCTTTTGGTGCGTCCTTTGATTTACAAACAAAACCGTATAATTGTATCGTAATAATTAAATATGACTTTATATAGTCAGATATAATATATTATAGCTTTGGCAGTATTTTCTACATTAGCGGAAGCTATACACACTTATATAAATACCTTATTTGATGTTCATCTTCATTTCTGCATGCATTTTTCCTTTAATATCGATAAAATTAGATATCCAAATACAATCGTTCAAAAAATCCCAGTCATAAACAAGTTGTTAATTTTAGAATATTTTTATTTAATGTATGGCATAATTAAATTTGACTATAACATTAACGTGCATAAACACAATGATATTTTATACTGGTCTCGCGATTCTATTGTCTAAACATATACAATAGTATAATCATGTGTGATTTGAATTCAGGTTCACAATTTCAAGATTAAAGAAAAATTTATATTATTAGACTTGTATTTTTATTAATTTCATATTTTTTTGTTTCTTTATTATCAATTATTTTGTTATTCAATTATTTAGTTTTAATTTTAATGTATATTTAAAAAAAATCGAAACGGATTCTTTTTGATGATATGCATTATTATTAATCAAGTAAAAAGATGCCCTCATTCGAAAAACACTTTGCATACTTTCAATTCCGAAAATCGTTCAGAACAGATAATTGCTTTCCAGAACAACACCTTCATGCTTATTATTATTTGTGTAGCGAATTTATTATATCTTAGAAATTTATTTTATTGATCTTGAATATAATAGATAATTTAATGTTTGTATTCGATTTAATTATTGATATTAAATCTGATTAAGAGAAATATATATACATATTAATTAATAATTAATTTTTCTGTAATAATATAATTTTATTAAAAGTTATCCGCAAAGTTAGATGCTCGTCTAGACAAATTACCTCGTCGTAAAACAGATCGGGCATATATAATTTCAAATAATAAAAGAGCTTACAAATTGAATGCAACAGAGTCATTCTCGGAAGGCAATCATTAATTTCTTATTTTACAAGAATAGATAAAAGGTGGAAACTATACATTTGATGGGATACGAGTGAATCTACATTCAAGCACCTTCGAACATCATTCGCCATCATCAGTATAGTATATTATATTATTAGAACTAATAAATATGAAAAACAACATCGATTATATTGAGGTGGCACGAAAACGTCCTAAACACGGTGTCACTATTTGGATGAAATTATCCTTGTGCGTCGCACATCATCCTTCATCCAAGATGAAAGATAATATCCTCGTGTTTATGGATGATGGCGGGTGAAAGTAAATAATGGGAAGATATAAAAATAGCTGCGAAAAGGAAGAAACTTTTTAATAATAATAAATAATATAGTCGCGGGACTAGCGAAGTAATAAGATACGCCAAAGCAGTAATATATCACTATTGTTATTCTCTTTTATTTCTTTTATATTTTTGTAATAATTTCAAACATAAATTTAGTGTAGCGGAATAACAAAAGTGATAAGATACGCCAAAGCAGTAATATATTGCTTTTGTTATATCCGATATTAAACTTTAATAAAATATAATAAACTATTTCTTTTATTTCTTGGTAAGTTACATCAAAAAGTCTACAATAGTTTTGGTAGTGTGCAAGATACTTTTACTCCACTTGCTCATCGTACCTTCAGATATTACACGTAATTGCATTGTTTGAGAGTGTTAGTAAGCAGGTTTAGATCGACCGATTGCCTGATCTTACTGTGTTTCGTGATATTGTGGTGATGACGAAGAATTGGTAAGATGTTATGAAGATGGCAGCGCAGAAAACATGCGGTGTGGGAACACAAATGATGAGAATGATGGAGTTGTACAATGATGAGAATGATGAAGTACAAATGATGGGAATGATGGAAGGAAGGAAAAAATGATGAGAGAGAAATATAAAAGTAGCAGTAGTAAAAGAAAGAAAAGAGTTCCTTTTTGCAGCATTTTCTTAAGAAATTAATAACACTTTAATCTTTTATTTTTATCTTTTTCATTATTAATTAAATACTATAATAATATTTACAAATAGCGATAAACATAGCAATAATTATATAATAAATGTTAGAAGTAGTGACAGAATAGAAACACGCCGTTGTAATATTTTGTTGCCCAACTTCTAATAAAATTTTCTTTTACTGTTCAATCATAAATAAACGTTTTATCTCTTAAAAATCTGTTCTAACACCGATAGTATACGTAGGGAAAATTACCTCTGCTTCACTTACTCACACACCTTTCAGATTATACTCACGATTTTGTAGTTGTTATTTAAGTTGTTACACTGTATAGCGATACACGAAGAAGTATAAGCTATTATTGAGACTAGGAACTTGATTTGTTGTGTAATTCTGTGCTGTCCAGACGTGACACTATTATCTTTGCATTATCCGTCATCCAAGATAATTGTTTATTCATCCCCGTATTCATGGATGATGATGGATGAAGGTAAATAAGGAAAAGATATAGTACAACTGCGTTGGGAAGAAAAGAGAAGGGATTCCTTTTGGGCCTTAACAATAAAATAGGACAATTTTTTTTCTTTCTTTATATTTGTAATAATTCTAATAATAATAACAAAGTGATAAGATACCCCAAAGCAGTAATATATCGCTATTGTCATATTCCAATATTAAACTTATATAAAATTTAATAAACTATTTCTTTTATTTCTTGGCAAAGTTACATCGAAAGTCTACACCAGTTTTGGTAGTGTGCAAAGCAGTCAGTAAAAGATACTCATCGTGCCTTCTGGTTTTACACATAATTACATTGTTTGTGATTGTTAGTAAGCAGATTTAGATCAACTGATTGCCTGTCTTGCTGTGTTCCAAATATTACACACAAGAAAAAGAGTGTTAATAATACATTGAATTATTGTGTGATCATCCTAAATTTATTGAGACTGATTGGCTTGACTTCCCACATTGTTCTGCGCAGACCACGACAGTATCCATTCATATGATCTTAATCCTAATGTAGTAGGGTAAAAATGGGTGTTCTGGCCCAGCACTAGTTATCTTACTATTTTTCACGTTCCAAAAACATTACCAAGCATATCAATTTTTGTACATCAATTTGCTTTTTTCGCCACACAGGAAAGCCACTAACTATACCACACACAAGTATACGGTGTGATTTATTTTTTTAGCCACATTTTTATATCAAAGTATATTAATTTTATATATATTTAGAACACATTTAATTACCCAAATTCATATCATAAAGGATATCAATTATTTATGATATTATTTGATATAATAGAATTCATTCTAAAGACAATTCTTCACTACTTTTCTGGCCCACAAAAATCTAACAAAAACTATATATATATGTTAAGTCTAACAAAAATTTATACCTAAGTGTACCAAAATTTATCAATATATATGCTAAGTCTAACAAAAAAAAATGATATATACGCCAAGTCTAACAAAATTTATCGATATATATATCAAGTCTAACAAAATTTGTGTTAGGTTTTTCACATATTAAGAATCTAATTTTGAAGCCCTAACACGTAATCTATTATAGTATTGAACTACATAGTACCAGTTTGATATATCGAATTAATTAATTAAACAAAAGATTTTCTTAAGTGTTATATATTAAAATTGTTAGACTTATACTATGGTTAGAAAAGATAAGAAAAATCGAACTTGTAATTGATGTGATGAAACCTTGCCAACTCCACAAAGACTTCGCACACATCTTGAACGAATAAATCCATGTCGTCCTAAAGTTATTCCAGCTACTTTTAGAACACACGCTCTCAAAATAGTTCATTCCTCCAAGATACCAGAACCAATTCCACAAATTGACCCAAAACCTGTCCCATCTTCTTTGCCAATCCTGTCACCACAACGTACCAGGTTAACAATCAATAAGCGCCCAGATAAAAGTGTTAAAGAATGGGCTATTCGTCTTGCCGATAGATCAGACAAGGTTAGTCATATGAAGCAAAATCGAAATTGGTTACGCAGAAGAGGAGAAAATCTAA